ATCCAAATATTTTAAGAGTTTACAAGATTCTCAATCCCTTACATTTTATTCCAGAGGATGACCACAATCCTCACTTGATTCCAACAGCAGCACAACTCAGCTGCTCCATAGCAAATATCCAGCTACTGTGCACCGCTCCTAGAGTCTCCTGGGAGGGGTTTAATACATTTGAAATATAAAACGTGAGTGAAAGACATTCAGTTCCAATAAGTGAATAATAAGTGAGCAAGGAAATAAATAAATGAATAAATAAATAAAATAAGACATTCAGTTCCAACAGACAGTTGAAACCTCACATCCTTTTTCTTAAAGGAAATATAACTGAAAATAACCGTTTTACAGGTTCAGCAAGTAATTAGTACAAATTACTTACCTAACCAAGTGCCTCGCCTACCCGGACCGAGTTTCGGGTTCTGCCCCCGAGGATGCACTATCCGCATCCTATCTAGGCTTACAGCAATAGACTCTCTTACCAGTTCACAAGATCTCTTTGCTTAAGGAATCATTCATTAACTTTCTGAAATCGTTATTATGACCCCACGAACTACTCAAACCGTGGGCCCCATGACTGGGCAAGCCAAGAGGTTCCATGACTAGACAAGCTATGGATTCCATGGACAGGACAAGCCATGGATTCCATAAACTCCACAAGCCATGGTTTTCAAAGAGTCTTTCTTTCGCAAACTAACCCCTTTCTTTTAAAACATTTCCAAGGCCAAAATCTTTTTGAAAACAGGCTTACAAGGAAAAGGGATAGAAATCCTACCTCGCACGATCAAACCTGAGACTAGCATTGCCTTTTCTGGCTTCCGCTTTCTCAAGCCCCTTCAGTCTGAATCCTCAGCGATCACTGATGTAATACAACACTTTAGGATCAATTCTCATTCCTAAAGCAATCCAAATCTCACTAATGTACCAAGATTTTCAATTAGTGTGCCCTAATTCAATTTCATGTTTCAAATTATTATTCCAAGGGTTTTCAATCTTAAACAAGGATTAAATATGCTAACCCTTTTACCCAAAGTCCCCAAATGAAGCTAATTTAGGTTCTCTCCGAAAACAGGGGTCAAAACAGCAATTTCAGGCCAAACAGGGTCGAACCACGTGTCAACCGGTCGACCGGTGATAGAGCAGTGCATCACTACCGGTCGACCGGTAGTGTGCACACTGGTCGACCGGTCAGCCTGCAGTCCGGTCGACCGCATAGGTCGACCGGTTTCCATGTGATCCGGTTGACCGGACAGGTCGACTGGTGGAATCAGCTACGCGAGAGATGCTCACGAAAACCAGTCCGAAAACCTACAAATACAGTCTCAAATCAAGATATTTCAAAGGAAAACCACTAGATCTGGGTTCTAGGTCCTAAAACAAGTCCAAAGAACCCAAGATCTCCAATTTCTACCCTAGTTTTACTCAAAAACCATCAAAATCCGGTTTGAACCAAAAATAAGTTTTGAAATTCAAAAACTTGAAATTCAAGAGAGGTTCTTTCAGTAATCTGTTGGAAATGTGTCCATAAAGTAGGGTGTAATTTGCTATTTATGAAATGGCAAATGTCGGACATCATTATTTTGCTGACGTTTATAAATAAAATAAAGTTATGTTTTGATTCATATTCAAGAGTGTTAGTGATATTGCTTAGTCCATAAACTGTTATCAACGAAAGAAGAGTCAGGGAATCCCTGCCGGACAAACTCTTCTGAAATAGTTTAAAATTGATATTCGCATTCTTAGGATCGATTGAGCAATCGAATCCGATTATGACTGTTAGATCGAACCATGTGATGCTGGTCTCGGGGCATGGGAGTTGGACTCTGTGGTTGATCTAGACATGTTCACAACATGTTGATTAGACCTTGTAACTAATTAGATTAGAGCAAAAACCGTTTACAGAGCTCTAAACCTAATTATTACAACCTAAGTATATTTGCGTAATTATCTCAATCCTGAAGTGAATACATAACTCGACTTAATTTCTCATGGTCTTTGATTCACCAATGAGATTAGTTCATAGTTTTTTTAACAATATCTCGGCTATTGGGATCATGACATAATTGATTTGGAGTTGTGTGATTCACAGATATGGAATTCGTAAGCGATAATATCACCTCATGCTTTATTGATGGGTGTGTGAATAAATAAACCA